ACATTTAATAAAATACTAAACGAAACCTTGTTCAATACTTAATCACCTATCGAACTAGATAACTAAATATTATCCATCGCCTTGACCTCTAGTTTCTCCGATCGTATTTTTTTTAAATTTATTCGCATATTTACTTACTATCTACACACGTTTCCATTCCTTTATGAGTTTGCTTGTAACATCGAATGAAATAAAAAGAAATGAAAGAAATATGTGTTGTGCCAATGTAAATAAAACAGAAGTGGCAATCAAAACTAATTCAACTCAATATGAGAAAGCGTCGAAAGCTAATACGCACCTAATATGCAATCTAATTTAGATGAAATTTTTAGACAAATGTAATAGGTAATTTTTATCGATCAAATAAATCATACATAACTTTATATAACTTTTTGCGATATTAATCATAATAAATCATATATATATCTAATGAAATATTTATATATGTAATCAATTATTTTTTTTCTCTCTCTCTCTAAATTATCTCATCAAATATAAGATATGATGCAACAAAAGATATATATGTAAAAATGAAACATCAAAATATACATAAATTGCTATAAGATAACATATTCTGCAACATATTCTCTAACAGTAACATGCGTATGATCATATTTTCTATTATTTTTTATAAAGCAATATTGTATAATTTTCAAAATATTACTAACCTTGATTTCCTTCAAGTTGTCCGGTATCTAATCTTTCTGCTGGATCTTTGTCCGTTGATGATTGTTTTTGAGAATCTTCCAACACAGTTTCTAATGGTTCTATCTGAAAATATCATAAATTAAATTTATATCATATGTTTCATTAAACGAATATCACATAAAAAATTTTGAATTAATATAATAATTAACCTTCATTTCTAAACGTTGATAGATTGGATTTTGTATATTTTTTTGCAATAAATAATCTCCTTCTTTACCACCTTGTTCACTAGTTGTAGACTCATCTGTGCTTTCTGCTTGAGATACTTTAGGTGTCAGTGCTGTTTCTAATATAGAATTTTGATGTTTGTTCAATTTTTGTTTTTTCTTTGGAGTTTCTTCTTTACTACCTGTTCCTTCTTCTACTGCCTGTTCCAATTCTACTAATCTTTTATAAGATTCTTTAGCAAATATATCTCCTCCCGATAGACCACGAATTTGTAATGTTTCTGCAGCTTTTAAAAGTGCTGGCAAATTTTTTTGTTCAATATTTACTTCTCCTTTGTATATAAATATAAGTAAAGCTTCTAGTTCACTGAAGTGCACATCTTGGAGTATTATAACTGGATGTTGACAGGGATTTGTCTATAAATATTGAAGAAAAAATTTTTTTAGGCAATATTTTTTATTAAACTATATATATATATATATATATATATATATATATATATATATATATATATATATATATATA